TATTTGAAGTTCGCGTCTGTGACGCCGAAATGGACTGTGCAGGGGTCTAAAAAAATCGACCCTGTGACGTCATCAAGGGGGCTAGGTCCAAATTTTTCCTTCAGAAGATGTCAAATTGATGGGAGAAAAGGTACTGAAAGTTTCGCTTTCCTATCTCAAAGCGTTCGGGAGGTATCGCAAATATTCGCCAGGGGGGGGGGGCGAAAAACGCCCCCCCCCCCGGGCCCGCGAGGGTTAACATAGCAGTCTTTTTTGCGGATGAAATTATCTGGAAAAAGAGCAGCCTACGCTCATGTCCGCTCAGTTTCTTCAACCAACACTAATGGAATGACCATGCACCTTCTCTTCAAGATGTAGCCCATTTCCTTTCACGCAGTAGGAAAGGCTTGCACTTTTATCAGTTTTCATCCCGTCTCCTGGGTGGCTCCAGCCTCCGTCTCCTGGGTGGCTCGGCCCAGCCGTTCTTGAGATGTAGAAGCGGACCCCTCACGTGCGCACGTGCAGTCGGTCCACCCTACCTGTCACAAATGACCATTAATCGCCAGGTGAGTGCCCCCTCCGCCCACAGTCCAAGTTTCAGCTTAATCGGCCCAGTAGTAGCCGAGTTATTCCTAGTACAATAATGTGCTGTTTACTGGTAAGCGCTTATTTTCAGTGTTTTCTAATTCCCCTTGGCGGGCGGTGCATTGAAGCCCATGCTTTGATAGCTATTGTCAAAATTTGAATGGCCTGCCGGCCATAAGCCATCGATCGGATTTTGACGAAAAATACCTGTAACGTTAACGAAACACGGCCGTATGCTTGAGTCATTTTCACAAAAGTTTATTGACTTTTCGATAATATTTTGGGTGGATATTGGTCAAAAAAGAATGCTCTTTCCGAATATGCAGGTTTCATTGCGATTTATCAGCGTTTTCAATACGTTTTGATGTTGTAAAGGACATCGCGCTCCGCGCGAATCAAAATTTCAAATTAATTTTTCATTATTAAGGAAATGGTACGGAGCATCAGTTTTTGTTTGCTATTATCTGATTACACATACATTTGTCTGCAAAATGGTACCACATCGATTTCATTCCGTCAAGCTGTTTTCCAGCGGCATCGGTTTTCTTCCCACAATGCACGAAATCGGTCATTTTTTCACAACCGGCGGTCCTGTCTTGCACGTGGCGCGTGCTATACTATGAAACCATGTCAATACGCTAGTTCCATCTGTCCTCTATCCAGTGGTGAAAACTGCTTTTCGCTGCGCCCACCCGTTGCCGACTTATACAGCCGGGAAGCGGGCGCCGCAGGCCGGTTTTCGTCCGATGTTCGTTTTGACCGTTTCCCGTGTTAACCCTATGGCGCACGCGAGCGCGTGCTGACGGCGCACCCCTGGGCCAATCCGTCCCAAATTTTAATACAGTGGTCACATCAACCCACCAATTTGGCATGCCAAATTTCACGTCGATACGCGGCGCCTTTCAGGCGCATTAAGACACATAAGGCATGACAGTCGCAGGCACGCACGCACGCACGCACGGACATGTTATAATTCATAATAGCCCTCCAGCCTGAATGGTTCGGAGAAATTTGTGCAAAAAGTTGTGACTTAAAATATGCTCTCACGATATAAATGCACATGCATCAACTTCCGCATGGCACTTTAAATCCATTCTTTCTTAAGTTTGCCAGACTATATAGTCTGGCAAATCTGAGAAAGAGCGGAGTTAAAGCGCATGAATCACTTTGCACGTGTTTTGAGCATTTGAAATGTATGGCTCCGATAAATTTGTGTGAAAAGTTGTGAGAGAAAATATGCTCTCACAATATAAATGCACATGCGTCAATGACCGCAGCACTTCAAATCCATTCTTTCTTATGGTTTGCCAGACTATAGTTATGTAAAAACTTTGCCACCAAACTTAACCGAAGGTTTGTTGTCAATAGTTAAAACACTATTCTTTAGAATTGTGTTTTTCTATTGAAAAACAAATCTGAGTTCCCTGACAATTTGGCAAAAGCTGCCTGAGATCAGTACAACTTGATGCTCTTGAAAACGGCTGCTCCAAAAATTCTGATTTTTTCAGGATTTCTAGTGGGCCAGGTGATCTACGTTCTGGTATGGGTCTCCCCTCCGCGGACCATCTGGTGCACGTGCCACGTGACTTTGAAAATTCCCGTGTTAAGCCAATGGGCAAAATGAAAAAATGCGTTCCACGGCAGATTGCTCGAAAACGATCCAAACGACCCCCCATTTTCTTCCATGCAGATCAACCACCATTCGGTGCACTACCCATGGGTATGTCGCAAAGTGGCCGGAAAAGTCCAGAACCACGTGCCACGTGCCGTTGAAAATGACCCTGCACACCGGAAATTGGGACTTTTGGTCATTTCGGCGCACCCATGATGAATCGGGCGCTTTCATCTAGGAGATTTTTGCAGATATCTTTTTGATTTGTGAAAATGACCAGCCTAGCGGTATGCCAGTCGTTGATAAATTATTATCTTGCTGCGGCCGGGCGCTTATTTGCGGTGTTTGCGTTTGGCGGCTGGCGGGCGACTTTTAGTCGTTTTTGGTTAGAAGTTAGCGTCGGTGCCGTGCGGGCGGTTTTATTTTTTCGGCATTTCGTCGTTTTTTTTCTGTGTGGTTTGCGGCGGTCGGACGATTTTTTTTTGCCGTTTGCGTTGGCTTTTCGGGCGTGCGTTTTACACGTTTTGCGGTGTTTACGTTTAGCGGCGGGCGGGCGTTTTGTGTTTTTTTTTTGCGGTGTTTGTCTTTGGCGGCGGGCGGGCGGGCGGGCGATGCGGGCGCTTTTATTTTTTGCGTCGTTTGCGGTGTTAAATTTGTTTGCGGTTGGCGGCCGCTTTTTCGTTTTCTTGCGGTGTTTTTTTTGGCGGAGGGCGGGCGATTTTTAGGCGTTTTCATTTGGCGGTTAGCGGGCGTGCGATGCGGGTGGTTTTATTGTTGTGCGGCGTTTTTGCGTTTTTTTATTTGCGGTTTGTGGCGGGCGGGCGTTTGTTTATTTTTTGCGACCTTTGCGTTGGCGTTTCGGGCGTGCGTTTTGCGCGTTTTGCGGTGTTTGCGTTTTGCGGTGTTTGCGTTTTACGGCGGGCGGGCGTTTTTCACAATTCAAAGTTCAAACCTTCGGGCCACAGCGCTCCTCGAAAAGCGCTGCCCTCCATATGCACTTTTATGATTTGTCTTAACTTATGCTTTGATGCTGTATCTGTCAATCATTTTTGTTGTAACGACCGTTTACCTACGCAAGGATAGCATTTGTAATTTGCATTTGTATTATCGATAACTTATCGTCGATATTATATTATCTACGTATGCATATTTTATCGTTAAATATAAAGCTCTTTGAGAAGCAATGGCACAACGTTTATCACTGAACTAAAAAGCTTTGTCATTTCCACTGTTCTGGTCCTCGACGAATTGTAGTTCTTAGGACATAATTGCTCCAGAATCATTTGGAGCACGTCAGCATATGTTAACACACATGCGCCATATTCCAAAAAGCGTATGGCGCTGACTACTCATGATGGCACTGCTGATAAAGCCAACAAAACACGCCTGAAAAAAGCAATTCTGGCGATGCTGAAACGCTTTCTAATAAGCGCGCATTACTGGTATTTCCAGCCCATCAGTTTAGCTGTGTTTGACAGCTGAATCAGCGTCTGATACCGTGCAGGGGTGAGTCATCAGACGGAGACGCCCGTGCCTGCCGACGCGACGGTGGCACCCGTGTGGCGTGCCGGGACCGGCGCGGCGGCTGGCCCGGGTGGATGCTCGTCGATGGGTGACTAATATATCGCCCCGTACCTGTCCGCTCCGGGCTCATCTGTTCGACGCCCCAGCCCGGGTCCGTCTATCCTGCACCCGGATCTCGTGTCTATCTCGCGCCAGGACCAACTCCTACGCCAACTCCTCGCGCCAACTCCTACGGGCTGCGCCCCGGACCCGTCCGTCCGGCCCGCCCGTACCCATTCCACGAGCACCCCGTATATGCCGTGCGACTGCCGGTCCCAGGTGTAAATCAGCCGCCATTGTCGACTAGCAGTACCAGAGTGTTCGCTGTCATTTCCTGCCTGATCGGAGCATCCGTGCATTGTGATCGCATCCCGGATATGCGGCAGGGAAGTTGGCCAGTGTTTTACAGCCAATGCCGATGTTCCCAAACTTTCCTGTGTATGGACTGTGCTTGGTTTCCGTTTTAAGAGTTAGATTACCGTATGTCGCTCATATAAATGGTGGCAGTTGTTCTTTTGTACCTTACTTGAACGTGGAAGTGAATTTTGGCGACGAAGAGCTTGCAAAAATGGTTAGTTTTAATCAAACGAGCTGGTAAGGGATCTTCAAGGCTGATCGAATCGAGTTCAAGCTACAATGTCCCAAAGACTAACATGGAGTCACGATGCTGCTAGAATAAATGAGCTGCGGGCTTTGTGTGAAATATTCGGTATTACAGAAAAAAGAAACATTTTTTCGCAGTGTGTAAGTGGATGCTGCCCTATGAAGTTCAATTCAAACCGTTAAACGTGGGTCAAAAGTTAGACTTTGCTAGTAAAAGAGCGTTGAAAGACATTCACTTGTCATTTTCAGCGATGTCTTAGATATTTTAGTTCACGAGTTATGAGTCTGTTCATCCAAGAGCGTCAAAATTTGGAAAATTTTAGGTTTGATTTATTTGTTTATCGATTTAGTAGTGACCAGAGCTTTCACCTACACTATAAAAATGAATTGTAAGTATGCTTTTGACGTTGTTTGACGTTGTTTGACGTGCTTTGCTGTTGAAGTTGTTGCCAACCTGCATTTTTAATTTTTTTCTTGGGTACGAGGCTGGTAAAGCGTAGGCATTTCGGACGGCTTTCATTTACGGAACATATAACCAACCTTAGGTTTACGCTGTCGTTTTTATGTGTGCATTAATTGACACAGAGGTTGTTGATTTGTTCCACTTAGGTATTGCTAGCTCATGTCTTTCATTCTTCCCTTCTTCGAAAATAAAGAATGGAATTATATTATAAACATATATTTCACGAATGTTCTCTCATGCACATAAAAATATTATTTCTGGCGCATCACATTTTCGATTTGATCCCACCACCTACTGGAAATTCCCTGTGACGGGCGTTCATACGGCCCATCTCGTCTGCAGCTGTCGAGTTCTATGTACACAAGTCAGGTGTCTGTTTCGCGTCCTGTTCTAGCATAGGTAGAGCACAAACTTAGTTTGGCACAATCACAATATCTTCACTTTTCCGAGCACACACCCTCGCATAGCACCGTCTGCTCACGAACAAAACAACACAGGCCCTCTGACTGTGGAGGTATGTACAAAACGACCAATATCACTCACTACGCGCAACTCTGCATCTACTCTCCACGGCTCGATTCACTACGGAGAAGGGGGCAGAACTCTTGAGCAAGTACCTCTCACACATACGAGCGGCTGAGTGCCGACGGCACCCGAAGACGGCACCCGGCAGCACAAGGAATAACGAATAACAACTTAAAGCGACTGGGAGCGGCGTCTCCCTCCCTGTGTGTGATGTGATCGGACGACGGCGGGTGGCCGGGGCCGCACCCACCGCGGCCCGGCCGACCGCCCGTCGGCCGCCGCGCGGCGCGCACCAATAAATAGTTCACTCGGCGTCCGCGCCGCGCGGCCGGGTCACTACGAGGTCGGCGGGTCTTGGCGGCCTCACCGCGGGCCCCGTCGGCTGCCGGCGGCCGACGCCGCGCGAGAGCTGCGCCGTCCGTGGATCTGAGGGAAGTCGTCGACCACACTGAACTCGGAGAGCGCGTCCGAGTCCTGTGGGACAGACAGCACCGGTCAGACGGGGGCGCTCCAGGGGCGGGCGTGCAGGCTGGGCTGGTCTTTGTGTAAGACTGGGCAGTGCGTCGAAACTTTCCTTGGAAAAGGCATGCATCATCGCTCACTGACACATTTGGTATGGTGGTGACACATTTGCTGGGTGAATCGAACAATTAAGCTGAATCATCGCTAAAACAATGGATCGTGCACCTGCAAACATGGTGAACCAGTGATGGTGACCAATCTTTTCAAATTAACATTGAATAAACAAGTGGTCCGAATAAAACAAACAAGGTGAGCCATTGGACATTGACTCCTTTTTATAACGACTTGCATGCCACTTGCCCGGTCGGTTCCCAGTTGCATTGGCGTTCCCAGCCTTATGCATACCTACATAGAGCGTCAGAAGACGATTAGCATGCGAAGCTTCATGGCTTTAGAAAGTGCCCATTGCCATGGCTATGTAAGAAGGATCGTTTTCCGCATATTTTTCACAGCAATGTCATTAGCTTAAGCAAGTTCAATCTTTAAAAACCGATCAACGGTATAAGAACAAATTAGTGCACTGTGCTAGTGGTCACTGGACGTACCGCCTGAGGCCGGAACAGCTGGGTTTCCGGCATCACGAATGTGGACGCCGCGTCCCGTTCGGCCATTGTATGATGTTCCTGAAAAGTCGAACGCTCAGTCACCAACTGGCACGTGATGGCGGAATAGAGCACACATCTGTTCCGGGGACGGGTCGGTTAGGGCGCCTCAGACACCAATATTTCCTGGTGTTCAGCGGTATAGGCTGATGCACCGACGACGGGTCCGATTGGCTCCAAGGACACAGGAAAGGATAGCCAAGGGAAAACCGTGCGCCCGTCATGCGATTATCATACAATCACTTCTGACTTATTCACGTCCTCAGCTTGAAGTTTGATATGACAAAGCCATTCAAAGCTTTGTCATCGGCACGGCAGTACGCAGGGTAGGGTGGCCGGGAAAGTTTGGCACGTGTCCCTTCTTCGCGGTTTGCTTTAAAGGGACCCTCCCACCTTCAAAAAAAGTTAATGAATTGGCATGAAAGTGATGTCGCTCGATTCAGAAAGAGCAAAAACGAATATCTACCAAATTTCACCGAAAAATATTCACCGGTTTTCAAGATATTAGACTTTTACTTTTGTTTACTTTTTTGGGATCTCCGCTGTTCCTAGCGACTTCATTTTGGAAGTGCGGCGTTCGCGGCAGATGTTGCGCGCAAATAGCATATACCACCACTGCTTTACAAAGATGTTAGTATAAGGTTTTAAAATCGTTAGATCACCGCTGACGTCACAAATTCTAAGGGGGCATCTCAATGCATTAGCCCCTTAGAATCCGAAAACTGCAAGTTTGAAATTCAATATCTCCGAATTAAAGCATTTTTCGATGTTGTGAGTGCCCAAACCGGTATTTGCAGACCATGGCCACCAATTTGGCTATCTCAACTCAAAACTAATGTTAAGGTGGGATAGTCCCTTTAAGTGCCCAGTTTACGTGACAGAAGCTGCTGTTGTTTCGATTGTTAACGTTATTGCATTAACTTTTTCATTTTATTTGCCGTTCATTGTACTTTGTTTTGTTTGCGGTGTTTATTGTCCATTTTTATCTATTGACTTCGTTTGTCATTGAGGTACTGCCCGCTGGTGGTGTATGAATAAATGAAATGAAGTTGTTTACGTACGTATGTGAGCATCTGTGAGCTGCCGGCCAGGGAGCTGCGCCGGCTGCGCTGGGTGCCGTAGCCGCGCACACTGCGCACGCTCGGCCGGATCGTCGTCTCGTCGTACGAGCGTGCCTCCGACATTGTCCTGGAACGGAACGAACGGGTGGCCGTGTCACAGACTGATCTGATAGCGGCCTTGCCGCACAATGTAATCATTTGTCAGTGGACGTCCCAATTACCAAAGTGGGAACTTTTCCTTGGCATGTAACGTAGGTGTCATCCTACGAGCACCCACATTTAACGGCATGTAGGTATTGCATAGTGCATACTGCATACCTTCCATGTAACCGAATTTGGGACTCAGCTGGCGATAATAGATCTACACTTCCACCCAAGTACTTATTAAACCGGAAAATATGTAGATCAGGCCAATATGCTCGGCCTTGGATGCATTTGCCATCCAAGAGTAGGTAGTCGTCATATTTTCAATCAATTTTTGCGACGAGTCACAGCCTGATCGCGTGTCGACATAGCTCAGTCTTAATGGCTTATGACAGCCCGTGTTCCACTTCCAATCGGCCTAAAATCCCAAAGCAGACACTGTGTCCCTCTTGAGCTGATCTCTCAGGCATGAACGCACATTCTTCCAGAAGTTTGACTAAAGTAACGCCGTCAGTTTAGCACCTAAGATCGAAGTGCTTACAATGAACATTCTCCCACGACACTGCGTCCTCTACCTACCCAAACGCTCCTCCCGTCCCTCCTACTTTTCCCGTCTGTTCGCGCCCTGTACTGACCTCTCCCTGAAGAAGGAGTGGGCTCTGTAGTCGGCGTCCCCGCCGATGGACTCGGCCCTCAGACTGAGGCTGTCTGAGCTGCGACTGCGCCCGGTCGGATGGTGGCTGACCGCCTCCTCCGGCCGCGGTCGGCGGCCCCCACTGACGCTGCGCGCGCTGCGCTGGGGCGCCGTGAAGGTCCCCGCGCGGGGCCGCATGCGGCCGCGACCGGCCGGCTCCAGCACGCTCATCAGACGTGACTGTTGACACCGAATGGTGGATAGTTAGTGGGGAGACAGTGGGTCAAATGCCCAAGCGAAAGCTTATCAGGGCTGATGGCACCGAGGGACAACATGAATTCGACTTCTCAGTTGAGCTTTTCCGTAAGAAATAAACCTACCGAAGCAGAGCGATCACTCCACAATTCTAAAACAATGCGGGCTCAGCTACCAGTCACCCCTGTCCCTCCAGTGCTGCTTCCCGGTCCTCCCCGGTCCGCTCGGCCGGCTCACCTGGCTGGCTCGCAGGTCGGCGCCGCCGTCTGGGCCGACGCGCAACGCCGACGAGGCGGCGCTGGCCGGCCGCGGCTGCGGGTGACGGTGCTTGGCGCGCGGGATGAACACAGCCGGTCGGATCGCCGTGCTGGCCAGGCTGCGCTCCTCCTGGAAGCTGGCGTTGGTGCGGCCTGACCGGCGGCTGCGGCCCGCCACAGAGGCGGGCGGCACTGGTGCCGGCCTCTTATTGACCGGTGGCGGAGCGCCCAGCTGTCGAAACAACACGCAAAAGTTGTAATTCAAGCTCGTTTCGCTCATATTTCGGATCGAGAGAAGTATTTCGTCAAGATGGAAAACAACTACACCACACAAGATTTTTTGTTTGTTTGTTTGTTTTGTTGGGTTAACACCACACAAGATATAAATACTGTCTTTATAAAGGCATCAGTGAAAATCTGAGCGCAGTACGTCTGGCGTTCGCAGCGTTTTGCGATGGTAGTGGTATGAGTGTGAGTTATCAGTTTGCGTACCATCCGCGGCGGACTGGTGGCGCTGGTGTCGCTGCTGCTGTCCAGCATGGCCCTCCGGTCGAGCACCGGGTTACCGAGGTCGGTGCCGCGGTGTCGCAGGAAGCCGGCCGGACCCGTGAATACTGCAACAGAGAGGGACGAACGTCAGCGAGAAAAGAGCATGGAACACCCACATCCTCCTCGTTTACAGGAACCGCCTCGTGGAGGAAATTCAGATAAGCTTTAAGTCGCCGTCGGTGATGCTCATACGAGGTTCGAGACAGCGGCTAGCTGCTAGAATGTCCTCTCGTCATCACAGTCAATGTCACGCATTGGTCTGCATATTCGTATATCAGCAAGATGATCTGAATCAATGGGATACGCAGCATCAAGGTGTATGCCTAACACTTCATTCGGCTCCCTCCTCCGCCTATGTGACGTACCGAGCGGCGGCGCGACGTGGCTCCGTCCGCGGCGGCGGCGGCAGCAGAGGAAGCAGCAGGCGCACAGCATCAGCGCCAGCACGGCGCCGACGGTGACCAGCGCAATCAGCAGCACGCGCAGGTTGATCTGGCACCGTGTGCCGGCGTACCAGCGGTGGCAGCGGCAGCCGGTGCCGCCGCCGTCCTGGGCGTAACACTCGCCGCTGTAGCTGCACTCCTTGCAGCCGGCCGACTCGGCTGTGGAAGACACGGGAAAGAAGGGTTAGAAAGGGGACAGGGAAAGGGACAGGATAAGAGGTGGACGATCAAAGAGCGCGAGAATCGACAGTATTCTAGGTGCGCTACTCGGAGATGCCAGATGACCGGAAAGCTTTCATTTGCTATAGTTACGTGCACTGGCCAAACATGTTGCCGAAATTATCCTCTCTTGAGCTCGAAAAATCAGCTGAGTCGGCACTCACTGGAGCAGGCCCTTCCGGGCGCGTCGTTGACGTTGAGGTCGACCATGCCGTCCCTGCAGCTACAGGTGAACGTGCCGGCCAGGTTGTAGCAGAAGGCCTGCTCGTGGCAGTCGTTGTAGTCGCCGTCCTGGCACTCGTCAAAGTCTGCAGGGGGAGTCAACGAGTGAGCGAAGAACACACGGCTGTGACCTCTCGGACATCTTGGAACTTGTGTCTACTATGCGAGAAAATATCGTTAAGTAACTATTGAGCATCGGCACGACTAAGCCGGTCCGCTTTCCTTTGCAATCTGACAACCTTCTACTACTAAGCGGATGCGATCAGTGGTCTGCGATGGGTATTGACAAAACGTCTGTTTGTCTGTGACACTAACCGAGAGCGGTGATGGCGTCGCTGTGCTGTGACACGACCAGCTGCTGGCCGCCCATCGAGTAGTTGGTGCTGCGCAGCGCCTCCGCCAGCGTGTGCCGCAGGGAGCTCCGGTCCAGGGAGTCGCTCTCGCGCTCAGACACCTGGGGAGCAGGCGTCAGGTCAGATCGGGTGGGGTCTTGTCGATTTAGTCTCAGTGGTCAATGACGACATGCTTTCCAAGAAGCATTTCCAAAAACATCTTGAGGCAATCGGCTGGTGCGAGAGTCCTGAAAGTTCGTTCATGTTTCAGGCGATTTTGTATGTTGACAGTTCGTTCACATCTGAAACGATTTATATGGGAACGGAGGCCAATGACAACAAATGTAAGTGGCGAAAGACATCGGGAACTTCCCATGCGGACTGACGCAACCGCTACGCTTCCAGCCCCAGCATTAATAGCGACCGGTAATGAACCAGAGAGGTACATTCTCCATTTCCCACTGGGACATGAGGGTGCGTTCACCCGTTCACCATACTGGACGCCTTTTAACCGGATCTACAGCTCACCATCGTCCGATCCTCACCTGAACCATCAGTTCCGCCAGCAGGCCGTCCAGGCTGGGCGGCGGGCGGGTGCGGGGCAGCCCGGGCGCGCCGGCCGCCTCGGTCTCCACGAAGCCCATCAGTTTGGTCGTGTGCAGCCGGTCTCCCAGTTTGGTGTCGATGAGCGCCTCCTGGAGGCCGCGCTCGGTGATGCGCGCCAGCTGTTCGTACTCGGCCGACGAGCGGTCGGCGAACTGGGGCCGGAACGACAGCGGGATGTCGTTCACCCGGTCCAGCAGCACTTGCAGGCGGTACGTCAGCGTGGCTGGAAACGGGAGGGTGAAGGGGTGAGAAATGGCCGGTATCGTGTGTGAGGGGATGTGATGGAAAGCATTGCCGATCATTTACGCTTTTGAGTTGAAAATCATAGCCAAAAAGTGATAGAAAAATATCATCTATTACGCTGAATGTGTTGTGAATGTCATGCCACTGCGAGCAACAATTCCCCAGAGCTTCACTCACGTTCACAGGGGTCCTGCTCGCGGGCGCGAGCGAAGCCAGGTCTGCAGGCGCACTGGTACACTCCGCCGATGGGCCGACAGGTCTCAAAGATGGCCTCGAGGCAGGGTCTCTGGCAGCGCGTGGCCACCGCCTCGGCCTGTTCGACGACCAGGTGCTGGCCGGCGCCGGGGCTGATCACCACACGGTTGACCTCGTTGTCGTCGGTGATGCCCTGCTGGGCGCCGTCGAGGTCGATCGAGTCCGCCAGCAGCACACCGGCCACGGAGACCCTGTCCCTCTCCCTTTCCCGCTCCCGGTTCGTGGTCGGCTCAGGCCGGCGGGGTGGCGGCGGAGGTGGTGGCGGGGTGGATGGCGTCGGCGGCTGGCGGGTGGAGGTGGTGGCGGTCCGCAGCGGCTCCACGCGAGTCGGCGTCGCTGTGTTGAGTGTGTGAATCTGCGTGGACGTGCCGATGACGGTGGAGACGATGGTGATGGGCGGAAGAGTGCTGGTGATCACCTTGGTGCTGGTTACCACCGCACTGCCCTGATGGTGGTGATAGGGAACTGCGTCAGAAGGGTAATCAAGATGAGCACCGCTGTCTTGAACAGTTGAATATGCACTGCACCGCGCACTTTTTATTCGTTTATTCATATTCGCAATGCAAAAGATTGATTACTTAGATCAATGACTTTCTGGAACCCCACCTTCAGGAAGGAAACCAACGACAGTCTTTCGTAGTTCGGCTATTGCCAGCAAATGGCACAAAATACTCAGAATAACTTCCCCTGCTGTCCAATCAGCAGACACTGACTGCTAATATAGGCCTAACGCTGGGATCTTACCTCGAACCTGATGTCGGTCTTGGTGGCGGTGACGGTACGGGTGAACTGCTCGGTCCGGGTGATGTATTTGGTCACCGGCTGGTGGCCGGGCCCGTTGACGATCTCCGTGATGTCGTGCACGCTCTCCGATGGCAGCGCCGGCCGGGTGAACAGGCCGCCGAACACGGTCGACTCTCCCCTGATCACCGTCTCCGAGCTGTGGTGGCGGCTGGTCGTCCGCGTGTCAGGGCGCAGGGTGCGCACGTCCGGACCCAGGATGGCCGTGGTGGAACCGATGCGGACGGACGATCCCGCGTCACTGCCGAGGTCGGTGGAAGACGGGAAGGAGGAAGACGGGAATGAGGACGCTGAGGAGGCCGAGGCAGAGGCGGCAGCTGCGCTGCTCAGAGAGGCCAGCAGGGTCTGCCGGATCCTGTCAGCGAGCCGGATGGGCTGGCGGGTGGACGCCAGGCTCGGAGTGCCAGTGGTAGTCGGAGTGGCCGTCGACGACTCGAAGCTCGATGTGACGATGAAGTTGATCTTGTTGTTCTCCTCGTCGCCGGAGATGGAGCCCGAGGTCTGCTGAGGCTTCTTGGCGGCTTGACCCCTTTCGGTGGAAGCAGAGAGTTCCAGGTCGTCGCCGCCCTCGTCGGGACGGAGCTCCTGGGGAGCGCCTATCACCGGTGCCTCTGATGGCGCCGTCTCCGTTATGGCTTCCTCAGTTGTCACTCGGATGACGGACTCCGTGTTAGGCCTGTTGAAGATTCCTCCTGGCTGAACGGGATTCCGTGCGGGGATCACAATCGACACCGGAACCGGAACCTGACCGGAGATCGGCACAGGAACCTCAAGGGTCGCCTGGTTAGGAATCCGATTCCGGACCGGAACCGGAGCAGGGGCTGGAGCTGGAGAGGGTGCCGGGGCCGGCGGCCGTGTGAACTCCGGTCCTCGGGTGACCTGTGGGGTCAATGCCGGGGCGGACGGGGCCGGGCGGACTGGCGGCGGTCGGCGCGGTCTGTTGGGGTTCGGCTGGAACTGGATCACCGCCGGCCGGGTGGTGATGGGCACCACGTCGGCGAACACGTTGGTGCCAACGATCCTGTTGTCGCCCTCCAGCGAGGCGATGGTGTGCAGCGTGGAGGTGCTCCTGGGCGGCCAGAGGACTTGGTTCGGCACCGGTACCGGTGGTCGGACCAGCGGCCTGCGTCGCTCCGAGTCCGGTTGGAACCCGCCGTCCGAGCTGTCGAAGAACGTCAGCTGGCCGGTGCCGAACGGACCTTGCACGCTGGCCGCATACTCCTGGTCATCGAGGCCCTGCTGGTCGGCGAAACCGCCTCCGAGGAACTCCTGCTGCCCGGTGAAACCCTGGCCGGTCAGCTCGTTGCTGAAGCCTCCTGTGTTTCCACCGAGCTCCGCCTCGACATAGGTCGGCTGACTGCCCGAGTCTGGAGACGACTGATCGACCCTCCGGTTGGCGTCTAACTCAGAGGCCAGCGTCGCGCCGACGACGACCACCGGCTGCGGCTGGGGCACCGAGAACGGCGGCCGGCCGTCGACAGCTGTCGGTCGGACGAACTGCGTCTCTGCGCCGGTGGTGATGGAGACGTGGACGCGGGTGGAGCCGGCGGCCGGGCCGAGCTGGTGCGGCAGCTGGAACTGGAACGGCTGGCCGGGCCGGTCCTCGATCCGCTCCAGCTGCAGGAAGTTCTCCTCCGGCTGGCCGCGCGGCGGCTCCTGGCCGTTGGGGAACACGGCGATGAACCCGTTTGGCGGCGGCGGCTGCTTGCGGCGGTTGGCCGGCCGCAGCGGTCGCCCGTTGGGTCGCGGAGGCCGGCGGAGCGGGCCTGGACGGCGCGGTCGGTCCTGGCGGCGCGCCGGTACGCCGGAGCGCTGCGGCGGGCGGCGGCCGGTGCTCGGCACACCCCTGATGGGGATCACCTGCCCGTCTGGGCCGCGCACAGCCAGTACCGGTCCGCTGGGCCCGCCCACCCCTGCCGGTTCGGCGGTGGCCAGCTGCTGCTCACGGCGCAGACTGTTGGCCAGCCCGCCGACCGGGATGAAGGCCGGGTTCCTCTGCTGCACCTGGACGGCGGGCGGCGGCCGCACGGGCTCCGGCGGCACACCGGCCGAGCCGTCGCGCCGCACCGCCAGCGGCAGCACGTTGCGGAACAGGCCGGCGGCCGTGTCCACCATGGAGCCGATGTTGATGCCGCTCAGTCCGGCCGCGCCCAGGCCGCTCAGGCTCAGCAGACTGCCGGCCAGATTACCGAGCGCCTCTGCCGGTGGCTTGCTGGTGGTGCTGGGGCTGGCAGGCGCTGGCGTGGTGCTGGTGCTGGCAGTCAGAGCTGCCGTGCTGGAGCTCGATGGCGAGCTGTCTCCGGCGGCAGGCGAAGCGGTCTCGACAAATACGATGGCCTCCTGAGTGATTGGAGATGCAGTCGCGGCGGTCGTCGGCTTGTCGGCTGACCCGGCGTCATCTGAAGATGTTGTAGATGTCAGCTCAGCGTTTGCGGTCACCGGGTCCGTTGAACTCTGCTCCTGGGTTTGGTCGATGTTTTCGACTGGCGTCAGGACCGAACTCTCAACCACGGCCGCTGGCTCCGGAATCTGGAACCCACTCTGTCCCTGTCCTGCCGCTGGCCTGGCGGTCTCCGAGTCCCCCGACAGTAGCGTCGAGGTTGGTTTCGTTTCCGTGGCCTGGGCCTGGCTCGGTCTGTTCTCAGTGGTCAGAGCAGCAGCTTGGCCGAGGGTCGGGGTGCGGGTGAGCGCGACCGCCGGCGAGACAGTCCTCGTGAGCGAACCGCGTAGGGAGCTGAGATGGGAGGCCGCCAGGCGGGTAGTCACCTTCTCGGTCTGGACGCGGGACGTGACCTCGGTCCTGGTGCGCACCACGGTGGCGCTGCCCTCCAGCAGCGTGGTGTAGAACGTGCTGGTCGTGTAGTAGGTCTTGGTGGCCACCACGTGGATCTCGTCCTGTTCGCCGACTGGCGGCAGACTCGGGTCGACTGCGGGCGGCTGACGGACCGGGGCCAGCGGAGATGGCGCGGCCGTGGCCTGGATCGGTGGCCGGACCGCGGACGGGCGCACAGCCGCCTCTTCAGCCGGCGGCCCCACGTCCAGCTGCGTGATGACGCTGGTGCTGCGACTGCGGAGCACCTGGGTGCCGGATATGAACGCCGTGTCGAACAGAGTCACCGTCGACAGGTAGGTCTTGGTGACCTGCTGCGGGGCGGTGGCCGGCGCCTCCGTCACCACCACGCGCGTCACCACCTCCTGCGAGGAGGTGACCTGCTCCTGCGCTCCCCGAGTTGTGGTGGTGAAGTAGGTGAACGTGGTGAAGTAGGTAGCCGTCTCGAAGCGCGTGGACTGCGGCCGGGCGGCGGCCGTAGCCGGCACAGTGACCACGTTGGAGACGGTTTCTCGCGAGGTGGTGACCCCGGCCTGGCCGCCACGGCGCACCAGGTAGGTGAAGGTCGTGTAGTACGTCTGCGTCCGGTAGAAGCGCTGGTCGAAGCCGGACGTGCCGCGGGTGCCCAGCTGAAACGGAGGACAGAGTGGTGGCGTGAGAAAACGCTGCGGCTGCCTCTGTGTGTACTACCTCTACCTCTACCTCTACCTGGATTTGAAATAAGTTGCTGTTGGGGGAACATTGAGACGAGATAATATGTTCGTTCATGGCACATAATATGACAAAACAGCATAAGGCGTAACAACATCACTGAGTATCTGTGAGGTGCATGTGCTGTGCTTTGAGTGAATGTTGTGGTTTTAGGTATACAAAGGTGCACTTCAAACCTGCGACGTCGTAAACAAGTGCTTGTGCAAGTGAATATATGTCTGGTTTCTGGAAAAATTATCGTTATGTTGTCATGCATTTCCCCTAGAGACCACTCAATTGAGGCTGGCGACATCATCGAGTCTTTCGCAACAAGTCGGCAATGACGAGCTACCGTTCATTTTAGGGCAGCCAGGGGATTATCGTAAAATGTAGGCTAACCACTTCATTACCTATCACTAATTGTCTGATTGTCAATCACGAGTACCTGCTCAATCATCTCCACCTTCAACCGATAAAGGGCTTAGAACTAAAGCAGCATTTTGTTGGCACAGATATCTCTGACAAGTGGCCGCTTCTGCTAGCTCTCTGTGACCGGTAGCACAATGACCGAGTTTATCGGCCACCTGGTTCCGCAGAGACTCCAGGTCGAGGAACAGGTCGGGATGAAGAGCAACCTCTGTGACAGCTAGTGAATTACACGGCTAGCTCTGCAGCTTGGTCGTCATAAAACCTATCGTGACAAGTACATTATTTTACACGGTGCGCGTATCTGGATCCTGCTGTAAAATAATGACGGCATTTGTGTCCGTAAACAGTTCATTTTTTACTTTGTTTGGTGTTTCGCAAGCACAGGCTGAATAAAAACGTTAAACAGTGCTTTCATTTTTACTTGGTTTGGCATTTGGTAAGCACGGGCTGAATGAAAAAGTTTGAATGGATGCGTGCGTACGGCTCACGCTCGCCTGAGTTGTGATTCGGTGCGCTGCTGCGCGTGTCTATTGTGGGAGTCTCGTGGCGCCCGCTCCGGGGCCGGTTCCCAGACCAGTTCCGACGCAATGCGCCGGCCCGAAATGGTGTCAGTCGACTACCGAGCCCCGATTGGCGTCAGCCGGTGAGAACAGCGCCACATGACCTGATCGACCGACCGGCCAACCGACCAGAGGCCGGTCAGGGGCTCAGGCAGACCGCCAAAAGCAGTCGGACCATCTTCGGACGGCGCATTCCGTTCGTCTGTGACGTCATCCAGGATCCGGCCGTCCCCGTTGACCTTTGACCTCGACCGGCGTCACCCGACCTCGTTCTCCAACCGCCGCCGACGGGCCGAAATCAATATGGAAATGGCGGCCGAGCCAATCAATTACCCGAGTTCCGTATCGGGCCCAAAGTAATGATGCTGTGACGTCAAATGCCAGGCCGTCTCTCAAGCCAGACAAATTAAATCATGTCAATTAGTGTAACTCGAGTGTTTCTCCTCCGAAGAGATTCAATACCAGAAGAGAAGTTCGATTTTCTCCAAATGCATCCATCACCTCCACCGGTTAGTTCCATTGCCCTCTAAGGGAACCCATCACCAACACAGCAGCCTGTGCTCTCCCCTCACCTATTCCATGCTCCGTGCGACTCTGCACCCTCTGATCTGACCCAGCAGGTTCGAATCTACCCTGCGGTGCATGTGGCCGCGCTGACTGGCCGCGCTGACCGGCTGCGCGCTGACCTCACCTGCGGCCGCGCGCTGACCCGGCGCCCGCTGGCCGGTTCGGTCACCACCAGCGCCTGCAGAATGCTGCGCCGCGTGTCTGTCACCAGGTGGCCAGCAGCGGCCCGGCGCGCCGACAGCAGTGTCACCGTGCTCAGATAGGTTTTAGTTAGCATCGAGACCGCCAGCCGCGGCTGCAAAAGGGCCGCCGTCGGCGGTCAGCGCCGGAGGGCCGGGGTTAGATAGAGAAATGGGTTAGCGAAACACTTGGCTTAGCGAGAGAAGTGGGTTAGCGAGGTTAGATTAGCTGGGGTCAGGGTAGCACTGCACTGGGGTTAGCGTCAAGTGAGTTAGTGTATTGTAAGCTGCTAGGTGAGAAAGGGCTTAGCGATATCAGTGTATGTTAGTGGCGAGCTACATGGAGTTAGCAGGAGGTCGGCTACCAAAACTAGCAAAGTTGTAAGTCTCTTGATGTTACTGGTTAACTCAGAGCTGCAGCCTCCTGGTGCTACTGACCAACTCTACTGCTGACTCGTGGTGTTACTGACCAACTCACTACTGCGGTCTCCTAGTGTTACTGACCAACTCACTATTGCGGTCTCCTAGTGTTACTGACCAACTCACTATTGCAGTCTCCCGTTGCTTCTGTTCAGTTCAGAGTTTCATTTGCAGTCTTTATGTTATCGGCCAGGTGACATTGCAGTTTGTGATGCGCATTGAAATCAAATGTCTTCATTTGACGTAATAAGCCAAAAGTGCATTTCATAGATGCCTGGCATAATTATGAATACGTATAAAAGCCATTTAGATCTCTGTTCGTTATAATTTCATTATTGGAATTAATACCTACATGAGCTCTTTGGCGAGCACTAGTGGGCGCTGAACAGAGACACTTCACATGGCACTAAATGTCAGTAGTGTTTTGAATTATATTCGATATTCATAGGCGAAAACAGAATCTCCAAGTAGCAGCGTCACCTGTCTCTGCCGCCTGTCAGCGCTGACGCCACTGCAGGGCTCCCGTTTCAAACATGGAGTCAATAGCATTCCAAACGGTGCCAATAGTGGCTACCGGACCGTTCGTCTCTCCAGTAGAGATCCGGCTCAAGTAGTTATTGGACTGGTTGGTGCCAATATAGGCCACGGTGCCGGTCCGGTCTCCTCTCGAACCGAACCTTTGGCGCTGCTACTGTCGCAGCGGAGCGGTTCTGTCTTGACCGGGCCGCCCCCGTACCCGTCAGTCGGGTTTCTCCGGGCCCTGTCCCGCCCATGGCCGCGACTGACCTACACGTTTAGGTCTTACTAAAAACATCTTTCATCTTTTATTGGTAAACATGGACATAACGGAAAAAAACTGCTGAAATTAACACTTGTTTTTAATAATGTTTATGCTCGTAAAACTTTCAGCTGCAATTGGTTATTTTCGGACAACGTTTACCAAAAGTTATAAGTGCTATAAATGCAGTGAAATGGTGTGATGGCTGCAAGCCGTGTGTGTGTGTGTGTTCAGTGAGTGCCTGCAGCTGGAAGAGGTTCACCTCGAAAGAAGGTGAGAAGTGGCTGGCGGAGAGGAGTGTCTCACCTCGGGGTCGGTCTCAGAGCTGGGCATCAGCGACACCACGTCACTGAGCGACACCGGCGGCAGGGTCAGTGTGCCAGAGTTGAACACCACCTGGCCGTTACTGACCACTTGCTCCGGTGGCACGCCGCCTCCTGGAAACAGGACACAGGTCAGGTCAGGTCGGGTCGCTGGTGAATGTATAGGCCAGATAACGTAGATCGACCTGAACCACAAGCGGAAAAGAGGCGTCGTGGCTAGCATGCTATCTCAAACTTCAAACTATAATCAATAAGTTTTTAGACTCCAGCCGAGTACCTCATGAGGTGGTGAATTCCGACACTCCGCTCATGCAAACCACCATATCAGATAATTGATTACTCGGAGCGTGCGTGGGGTCCGTTTTGCACTGAGCGCCAATTTGGCCTGCTCCTCAGTCGCTCGCCGTGACCGTGCCAAAATGGCTCCTCTGATTGAATTAAGACTGATGTGAGAGGCGAGCCTCTCGTGACGTCGGACACACCCGTAGCCGTAATTGATGGCGAGAATAGCAGAAATTATCGCCCACGCCATCCATCACGCAGAGAGGAGAGATCCTGGGAGAGAAACTGTAACTGCGGCCCCCGTGGCCCGGGTGTGACCCGTACAACACAGCTCGGGGAAATCCTGAATGGGCTTGTTATGTAACGGCTGATCATTGTTAATCCCGATACACTTCAATATAATTGATTAAATTAGCATACGAGTACGACACGTTCGATTCTCGTGCTGACAGGCTGGTTATTACATAACATTATCAGCGCTTATTGTTGTTTACTTTTTCTAATTTCCACAACCAACCCTTATTTCTCTAGCCCGTGTAAGTTTTCAGTTGGATGCGATATAATTGGATGTAAATAATTAGCAATGAGCATTGAGCAATGATCATGCTTGACAATGAACATCTCGCTGAAAGATGTTTGAGTCTCAGAACCTTGATGTATCAATTACATTGCTAATCTAAAATGCAATTCTTAGATAACTGTAATATCCCAACCAAAGAACAAAAAGTAATTACCAGCTGCATTGTTTTCAGACGGCCGGCTCCAATAGCCGAGTGATAACTCACCTGCTACCAGGACGGGCACCCCGTTGTTCATGACCTTGGTGGCTATGCCGGTGACGAGTGCGGATGTGGCCAGCACCTGGCTGACATCCTCGGACGCCACCGTCCTTCCGAACGCTGAAAGAAGACGAAACGTGACATATGTGTGGGTCAATTAAATGCTTCTCTTACGCTTACATTTTTACTTATATGTCTCTTCATCTAGGATGTCTGCTTTATTTCCTACAGTGATTACCTAACGATCTCGATTTCACAAAAAGTAAAGTCATCGTATCCCATCGTTTCCTGCTTTGATAATGGCCCGTCCTGTCCTCTGTCACGTTTCCGGCGATTTCTACCACTCAGGTGCGTCTCCCGGCGCGGCGGTCGGGAGGTTTCACACCCTGTGAGGCAATCTCCCACACCGGGGAGGGACACCCTGTCAGCCAGTGGCGGCGCGCCCGACGCATACTGATCAAAGGGAGCGTCCGTGCTGCGGGACGACTCGTCGAGGCCGCTCGACTGGGAGAAATCGCCGAACCGAATATGTTTGGGCCGCGAGGGTCGTGACGCAAGGCCTGGTCACTCTCACTGCTTGTTAGGCCGGCGGGTCTGAATGGATATGAGGGGAGGTGTGCGCGCCGCGGTCAGAGGTGAAACTGACCGGCACCGCCAGCAACAGGTGACAGTACTCACGTGGTCGACGAGAAGAAGACTCCGATTGCCGCTGGTTGATGGCTGCAAAATGTCAACCAAGTGTTAAGCGTTTGTTTTCAGGATGGGCGGAGACATTATTCACCCTACCCTTCTTTGATTTATCAAACTATAAAAAACGTTGAGTACTTTTAAGCATACATTTATGCTTTCAACTCTTCGTAGTTACACACTTGGTAGTATTATCCTAATTTAACTTTACTCAAATTGCTTCAATAAATCAGAATATCCAACTAACAGTCGAAACTGAGTCGAAAGAGCACTCAAAACAAAACGAATATTGTGTACACAAATATCACGCACACAAACAAATCAGCTGACATGAACATACAGGAAGCGCCAAAGATGACTGAAAATACACTTGACAGACACAGCAAGTGACAATAAAGGAATGCTCAAGAAGTGATCATTGCATTCGAGTAGAAAATCGCCGACTGGCTGTGCGATCGTGCCTCTCACCTGCGCCGGTTACGAGCTCTCCGAAGATGAGTACGGTGCCGGAGCTGGTGACCGCTCTGTATGTCGTCTGACGGGGGCGGGGGAAGAGAGGGACGCCGGAGAACCGACTCCGACCGGGGACGGTCAGACTGGGGGTGGCGCGGGACGAGGAGGAGGAGGAGGCCAGGATGGTGCGGCCGTCCGAGATGGCACCTGCCTCGGGTACATCACTCTCGCTCAGTGAAGACTGAATGTCAGGCGTGGTGGATTGTGTGGTGGCTACTGCTGGTCGTACCGGAGAGCTGGGCTCAGCTGTGGCCGGAGTCGTCGAAGAGACTGTCGCACCGTCTTCCACTGAGTCCGCACCTGATGGACTTGCCACGCGGAATGGCGGTCGCCTTGGTGAGGTCGGTCGAGTCCCCTCAGTGGCCGTCGGCCGAGGTCGGTTCACAGCGGACACACTAGTCAGCTGTTCCTCATCCACGGAGAACCTCCCTGCCAGACCTCTTACAGACGACACGGGTCCGTCGGAAGCGGCCGTGACCGTGGCAGACGGTTTGAACTCTCGACTGGGAGCCGCCGGTAGAGAACCAAACAGCGCCCGGGTGGCACCCGTTCGGTCCTGCTCTGTTCGAGTGGCCCGCACCGCCGGCACTGCCGCCGGTGTCGCCACGCTGAGGGTTCCGTCAAACAAGCCTGGCGAGTCGGTCAGAAGGCGGAGCTCTGAGGGCGCCAGAGTAGTCAGCGTGGAGGTCACCACAGGCAGTGTCAAGGTCTGACGACCGCCGAGGATCTCCACCAGCCTGACAGTGCTGAACTTGCGGTACACCACATTGCTGGGAAGATCTTCACTAACGATGTCTTCTTCACTGACTGACTCTGGGTCCGAGACACCAATTTCTATCTGGTCATCCTGAATGTCTTCTTCATAGAAGTCTTCAGTCTCTACTTCGTCTATGTTCTCATCGTCTGGCAAGGACGGCGCTGCGGTAGCGAGTGGTCGCCGAGTTTCAGGGGCTGTGTTCTGCAGCAGAGGTGGCCGCGAGGTGGTTGCGGGGCGGAACTGACTGATGAACGGACGTCGAGTGCGAGTTGGGTCCCGTTCGCGGGCCAGTCCAGGGAAGAACGGAATCCGTCTTGGGGTGGTGCCTGCCGTTGGCGCGCGCTCCGTGGTGGTGGTGGTGATGAGAGACGTGACGTCATCATGCTCCTCCTCCTCCTCTGCTTCCTGTTGGCTCGGCAAACTGGGTCGGCGTTGAGCGAATAGCTCGTTTTCGTTCCTTCTCTGATCTAAGGTTCGTGGCACTGTGCGTTCGGGAATGCGAGCTGCGCTGTCCTCAGATGGAACCGCACCAGCCAGCCTCTGGAAACCAGAAGGTCGTCGAGGTCGTCCAAACAATGATGGTCGGGTCGGACGCCGCCGCTCAGTAGATTGCCTGAAAGGGAGCCGTACGCGGTCTGGTCTTGAATCAGGCTCCCCAGTGGTAGAATCGACATTGCTGTTGCTGTCAATCTCTTCGCCGCTATCCTCGTCCGAGGGTCGGAGAAGAGGTCTGCGACGTGGAGATGATGCTGGTCGCAGCGGAAGTGACGGACGGGTTGGCCTTGACGGACGACGATTGCCCAGTCGGAAACGTCCTCTTGTCCTTTCCGTAGTGACATCAGCTGGCTCATCAATGACGACTTGACTGTCGGTAGTCACAGAGCCTTCCTCGCTCTCCTCCGTTGGTGCTGGTAATCTCGGCCGTTGAGGACGAGACGGACGGGCGGGTCGGTTCGGACGTATTGGAAGACGATTCCTGGAGCGGAACCCAGACAGGCTTCTAGAACGTTCTGTGGTGGTGGTGGTAATGTCCACTTCGTCACCCCCTTCATCTTCCGCTTCTGCGGAGTTGTCATTGTCCGCTGTCGTCTCTTCAGATGCTGTTGGTCTCTGTCGGCGACGAGAAGAACGGAAGGGCAGTCTTACCCTTGAGCGAAGATCAGCTAGGCCTTCACTTCCTTCAGTGGTGGTGGTGGAGGTGGTAGTGGTGGCAATGGTCGTTGTTGTTTCCTCTTGGATATCAACTACCTCGGTAGCGGCTTCAGCCTGCTCTTCAGTCGACAGAATAACATCAGGTTCTTCAGTAGTGGTCACCGAAGATGCAGGACGTCTCAGTCTGTTTCTGCGACTATCACGGCCAGATGGCAGGTCTAATCGTGCACCGACAGTGTTCTGTGAAGCACCAGTAGAAGGCCTTCGTCGACGATTGAAGCGACTGAACAGATTTGGGTCTCGGCTCTGCCTTTCCGTAGTTGGGACCGTGTCTGTGATTTCAGTCGAGGCCTCTGCTTCAGAAACTGACTCTGACGAGGTGGTATCTGTAGTGGTGGCTTCCAAAGTGGTATCTGTAAGTTTGTCAGCAGATGCTGGTGTTCTGGTGGTTTCGTCTTCAGCTGTTGCATCGTCTGGAGAAGTACTGGCGGCTGCTGATGTAGGGAATCGCCGACGAACCTTCACAACGCGTCGAAGGCTGCCACGACGGACTGAGCTATCTGTTGTATTCTCTTCAAGAGGAGATTCTGTAGTAAAGTCTGATGACTGGGCTGGTTCAATTATTTTCTTTCTTTTCAATTTCCTAACTCGCTTTCTTTGTACTCTTGATGCATCAGAAGTCGACACAGAAGCTGCCTCGTCCTTGGAAGGAGTAGAAACCTCGTTATCCAGTGTATCGTTTTCTGACAAGGTGTCCTCATCGAACAGCGAGTTGGCAGAAATTTCTGTGGCAGTATCAGAATCGGCACCAGCCTCCTGACTTATGGGCCGCGAGGTTACTCTGCCTCTCGATCGACTTCTTGTGGTGGACACGGTTGGCCTTTCCCGGAATCTGCCGCTTCCCAGCTGCGTTGTGGCTTCAGTCGGGCTAGACAAAACTTCCGGAGCGTTGGTCGGTGTCGCGGAGGGGCGAAGGCCACCTCTAGGCCTGGTGACCCGTATTCTCTGCCTCCGAGGAGTCTGAGCTCGGATGTCAGTCGCACCACTGGAATCTCTATCGTTCTTAGGCACCGCAGCACTGGTTATGGAAGTTGCAACCCGAGCCACTGTGCGAGTGCGGGTGACACGCACTCGTTGCCGTCTTAATGTCGGTTTCACACTGTTCAACTGGTCAGCAGCTTTAGTTTCTTCGTCTGGAACGAAAACAGATTTTACTCGTTTCACCTTGCGTCGCCTGCTGAAGCTTTGCTTTACATTTCTATCAGCAGCCTCATTGGAGCTTTGGTCTTCCTCGCTTTCAATTTTTCTTGGCGATGACGGAGCCGAAAACAGTGACGCCCTGTTTGCATTTTCAGGTTTCTCGTTTATCTCCTCTTGAGACTCGGTTCCTTGACCTACCACTATCTTCTTGATCTTTTTTACTTTTCTCACAAGATTTGTAGTTGCGTCTGTTGTATCTCCAGTATAGGAACTCCCAGCACCGAGTCTGTTCGCAGTGTTAGTTGCTCTGTCTTCTGAATCTCTGCTGTCGGGAACTTTCCGTGCTGTAAGGCTGTTAATTTCTTTGGCTGCGGATGGTTCAGCTGGCGAATCAACTTCGAATTCTTCAAGCGACTCTAAGTTAGAGTCGCCTGCAGAATCAGTAATGCGTTCTGTAGTCACTTGTTTGGTTGGCGTCACCACGGTTCTCACTCGTGTAACTCTTCTGGTGCCTCCACGACGAGAAGATGGTGCTCTTTGAGGTGTAACGGGAACGCTGGATGCATTTTCAGTTACATTACTGAGCTCAACTTCATCTTTTTCTTTTGGTTGCACTGGTCGCCTCCTGATCACCGAAGTTCTCCTTATTCCTGTTCTTACACCAGGGCGCTTAATCGTTGTTGCAGCACTGGCTGGGGTAGGCCGTCGTCTTAAGTTCCGACGGGATGTTGCAGGATTTGCTAGGCTAGACTGAGTGCGACTCTCAGATTGGCTCCGATTGGTTCCCCGTTGTACCGCTCTCTGAGAGACAGTCGGGGTTGTTCGGCTTGCAGAAATAGAACTTGTTGTATGTTCAACTTCTTCTATTTCATTGATGTCTGAAACTGTTGTTGAGCTATGCTCTTCATTCAGACTGGTAGCGGAGTCTAGCGATATCGATGAAGCTGGAGATGACGACTCTGTCGTAGGGCGGCGAAGACGAACACGGATCCTGCGTTGATCAGCTGAGGAAGTTGACTGGGGTACGTCAAGAATGGTGTCCGCGGCTGTCACCTCTGTTGTTGCCTCGGTGGTCGCAGATGAAGGGGAATCTTTTGACGTTCTGATGATTTTGGTTCTGACACGTTGACGTGCTCGCGAAACTACTCGTCTCCTAGAACTCGGACGGCGGGATGTTGATGGCGCTGATGAAACACCACTGACCTTCCCCTCACTGCTTTGTTTTTTGTCCGCGTCGTCTTCTTGTTCCGGCTCTTTTTCACTGTGCTTTGGTTCAGTTGTTTCTTCAATCGGATCAACTGCAACACTATCGGGTTTCAGTGAGCCTGTTTGTTTTCTTGCTTTGGATCCTCCGACCAGGCGAGTTCTCACCCGTACCCGACGTCCCCTAGTAGGCTTAGTTTCCACAGGAAGAGGTGTTGTTGCTTCCGGTGGAATTATTTCGTTGTCTTCTTCCGTGTCGATGTCGTCTATCAACGAAAGCTCTTTGGAAGTTGTATCTGATTCAGGCAGAGAGGCAGCTGTAGACGACGAAATACTCGGGATATTGTTGCTTGATGTCGTTTGTACGGTGGATTCAGGTGAAACAGTTCTTGGTCTATTTTCTTCTTTGGAAATCTCGGACAAATCTAATGCTTTAATCCCACCATCTGTCAAAACACTTTGCTTCAAGTTTGCCGGTGTCGAAAGTTCGATCTCCCTAGGGGTATCAGGTGTAGGTCTGACTACTGGCTGCTTTGTCGTGAAGCTGTTTGCTCGAAATCGCCCTCTTCCTCGCTTTGTTGACCCTTGCACAGGAAATACCGTATTTCTTATGGTTTCACGACTCGCCGTTCTCCTGCTAGTGATGTTTTCCGATTCATTGCTGGATTCTGCACGAGAGTTTTGAGATGGTGGTTTCTTGCTACCACTTTCAGAATTCCTTGACCTACTCTGATTTGAAGGTAATGCACCTCCACTTGTTTGTGGTTTTCTCTCACGTGTGCGTACCCGAACGCGACGACCACGAGTTGTTGGCTGGAAATCATCTTGAATCACGTTTTCTGCGTCAGCACCTGATGTCAGCGGTTTGGAAGAGGTTGATATGGTAACATCACTGGGGAGAGACACTTGTTTTGTCTTACTTCCAATCGGAGCACGACGTCTACTTCCCCTTGAAAACGAAGGGCCTGGGAAATCTTCTGGTCCATTCTTCTCTAAAGTAATCTTGTTATTTACCTCATCGCTATCATCATTTTTGGGGACCAACTGTTCTTTTGGTGGAAGAGGAGTTGTTGAGAAGGGTCCTTCTATAGCTGCTGTTATCTCCTCTTGAAAGGATGAGCGTAATGTTGTAGCATCTGCTTTCTCATTCTTTTCAGTTAGCGGATTCCTCTTTCTACTAACGTTTACGCTTCCTTCGTTTCTTACAGCAGCATTTGAGCCGGCAACGCTGTTTGTTCTTCCGCGATTGCCTTGACGACTTCTGGCGCTTGTTCTTCTGGCAGTCTGAAGTCCACTAGACCGATACTGACCGCCTCTGAGCGATTTTCGAGCAGATGCACGTGCCGTAAGCGTCTTGGTAATTGAATCAACCTCAGTTTGTAGAATGCCAAACAATAGGTTTTCTGATAAAGTAGGTTTGGCACCGAGTTTTGTGAGCTCCACAAACTCGATATTGCTATATGTTCTGAGTTTCGGAAGCACATGCTGCGTACTCTTCACAATAATACTGCCAAACTCATCGGTCACCGTGTTATCATAAGTATAGGTTGTAAACTCCGGTGCTTTGATGCGTCGGACTTGAGCATTGTTCAATGGAGCGAATTCCGGGTCATTGCCGTTAGATCCATCGCGACCCCTGGTGGCTTGGCGCTTCTCCCGTCTGAGTGGGGCAGACTCAGCGGGGCCCTCCCATAAAAAAGAATCCGTCTTAGAAGAGGGTCGATCCGTGAGCGATGGCGCCACGTCAATTATTTTTTCTCGATACCGAGTTGTCTTGCTCCCCTTAACGCTTTCCAAGGTCTGAGTGGCGCCAAATTTAATCATGTCTGGCTCAATCTCATTCATTGCTGACATAACGTAGAAATCAAGGTCGCCGAAAACCTGTGCATTCTTTGGTACCTTGAAAAGGCCCTGGTCGGTCTCTATGAAGGCCGGTATCTCTGTGGGACGTACTGCTGCGGTCGGCAGCTGACCCCGCTTGATGCGAGTCACCTCAGGTCCGTCCAGCGTCACTGTCGACAGCCGCGTGAAGAATTCACCAGGCTTGGAGCCACTGACAAAGATGGTGACGACAGACGTGGAGGCCGGCTGCTGCTGGGCTGCGGGCTGCTGCTGGTCCACTTCCGTCGCCTGGCGCAGCAGCTCTTCCAGCTGTGGCGGTGGCTGACTCTGAGGTAACAAACTTCGTGCGGCAGTCGGCTGGATGGCGGGCAGCTGCAGCCTGGGAGGCTGGTTCAACAGTTGCTGTAGCAGCAGCTGCTGTGGCGTCAGACCACCGAGAGCGCCAAGGCCGCCGCCGAGACCACCAAACGCGGCAGCCGGGGCGGCAGTCTGTCCCGGGATCCTCTCGGTGGAGGTTATCACCTCCGTGGCGGTGATCACCTGTACGTCGGAGTTGATGATCACTGTGTGGGTCTTTCTGCCTTGGAAGAAGATCGGTACCGTGGTGAAGTCCGACTCGGTCACAGTGGTTACGTATGACGTGGTGTAGCTAACCGTACGGAAGGCCTGCTGTGGAGGCGCAGCCACCGGGGCGTTAAATGAGCCAGACAGCACGGGAGCCGGCTGACCCTGGCTGGCCAGCAGCTGCTGCAGAAGGGCAGTCAGTGGGTTGTTGTTGTTAGCTAAGGCCGGGGATGGCTGAATCTGAGCGGCGCTCACTGTGTTCACTTCGGGCACGACGGTAAAGCCCGGCTGTGTGTAAGTCGAACGCACGTTGGAGATGCGACCACGAATCTTGGTGGGAATACGGATTGATGTCTTGATTTCAGTGGGACTCAGATAAAGGGTGGACAGCTCGGTCTGACCGCCGCCTCCAACAGCCGTTTTTGTTCCGACGTGCGTGCGCAGTTCACCATTTACCTCAGTTTCCGTGTACTGGCCCGGCTCCAGGGTGTTGGTGACGGTGTTTGCCGTGAACACATCACGGAACGACGTCCGGCCATCAGCTATAACTGGGATGGAGACGGCCACCTGCTCAGCGGAGACTACGATGATCTGACCCTCGTCCAGCACGGGCGTTGGGACGATCTCGGGTTCAGGATCTGGAGGATCGCGAGTGCGATCCTGTCCGAACAGAGGCTGACGCTGCCGAATGCGGCTGCCGGACGGTCCACGCTGCGAGGGCCGGCGTGAGGGTGAGCCACGGCTGGATGTGCCACGTGATGGTGCTGGCTCTGGGGTCGTGGCGCGAGGCGGTTCACTGATGCCCGCAGCTGCCACCTGAGCCTGCTGGAGACGCTGGCGGAGACTTACTGCGAGACCAGAACCGCTTCCTGAACTAGACGAAGGACGATTTCTTCTAGAACCCGGAATGGCCCTGCGCGTGCTGCTAGACGAGGTTCGAGAGGAGCCTGTTCTAGAGCGTGAGCGTGACGAGCCGCGCGACCGACCGGATGTCAGGGTGAACTTCTCCTTGGTGTCCTCAGATGGCGTAGGGTCGACGTTGCGCCCTCTGTTTGCCTCTGACTGACGACTGTTTCTGGCTCTAGTGCGACCGCGATTCTGGCGCCGGGCACGAGTACCAGTGGACGAGACAGAGTGATCAGCTGCCTCGATAAGTGTTTCTTGCTTTGAAAGAGAATCCCCGCGAGAGGCGCGGGACCTGCTCCTGGCTCCGAAGCTGGACTGACGCTTGGTGCGCGACAGAATCGCGCCCTCGGCGGCAGCCTGAAGGGGGTCGACGTCAGAGACGACCACAGCTACTTCGGAACCAGCATCATCTAAAAAATGGTTCTGTTCAAAAAAATTGTTGTGTTCCGGAAGCGGCTCGGCGGCGACGTATTGTTCGTATACTTCAGATCCCGCGCCTTGCAGATCATTTTCTTCGACCGGTCGTCTCCGTCTGCCACGTATGGGCCTTCTTCTTCTCACAGTGCGCCTAATGGTTTTAGGCTGTCCCCTCACGGCCAGACGTCCACGTCCGCGGCCGCGAACTCGTCTTGGAGTGATCTCAGTCAGTTCCTCCTGCTCTTCAGGCTTTGTGGGAGGTTCAGTAGTAGGCTCAGTCGGGGGCTCTGTAGGAGTTTCAGTGGTAGTGGTCGTAGTAGTTGTCGTGGTGGTCTCTTCTCCTCCAGCAATCACCGAAGAGAAGCGACTTATCAGACCACCCCTTCCGCCAGACTTTGGGCGACGGCGCAGAGGCAATGCGTTACGGGTTCCGCCAACTGATCGATTTCTGCCGAAAGCGAGGACACGAGGAGGCCTAGTAGTCACCGCTTCGGTGGTTGTTTCAATTGCTTCCTCGGTTACGGCTTCTTCCGTAGGATCAACGGGCTCTTCTTCTACTTCAGAAGCAACCGTGGTGGTTTCGTCCTGAGTCGGCTCAGTCACTTCCTCCTCCTCCTCAGGCTGGTTTCGATTAAACAAGCCGCGTAGGCCAGGACGACTGCCCGGCCTTCTAAGTCCTGGGAACGGTCGGCGCGTCCTTAAGGGGAAACGTCGCTCGGTGGAGGTCGGTGCAGGCTCTTCTTCCAAAACTGGAGAAGGTGGAGCTTCAGTCACCTCCGCGTCCTCAACGGGTGAAGGTGAGTTGATGTTTGCGGTGCTTGTAGGCTCAGGTTTAGTGGGCTCTGAAGTCGGCTCAGGTGCTCCCAATCCTGCCCTTTTGGCTGCTAGAAGTGCAAGCAGGCCGCTGGATTTACGCTTCGTGGACGTCCGGAAAGGAAGGAAGCTGCGGTTGGTTGACTGAATGCGGCTGGAAGAAGATGCAGCGCTCGAGGAAATCTGAGCACTGATGGATGATAGGAGCTTCTTGGGAGACGTGGAAATAGCAGAGCTGGGATCAGTTTCAGAGGCTGGACTGTCCAATGTGGGAGTTGCACTAACAGAGGGATTCTGAGACGACAAAGTGCTTATAGCAGCCGACTCGGAGACAGGAGTGGCTGCAACAGGCGCCACAGAACTGGGTGTCAATGCTGGGTCAATAGTCATGGTAGTACTCTTGATTATCTGGGCGTACAGTCCATGCACTGAGGTGCCGAAATACCCCGTCGAGGAAATGGTGGTGACACCATCGTTGACCTCTGATGAAACGAGCGACGAGAGGAGGCCAGTGCTGTATTGAATGGCTGGAGCCGCAGACGTGGGATCCACAGACTTGACGGGGCTGTTGGAGGTGGCAGTGGCAGAGATGGGCACAGTCGATGTCACCACGTTGCTGCTGACCACCAGGCGGCTCTGGACGACGCTACTCTCACCAGAGTGTGAGGTGGTAAAGTACGTGTAAGTTGTGAAGAATGTTTTGGTAACAAGTTTGGCTGGCGCTACCGCTGTGGAAGTTGGCGCCTTTGTTGGCTCTGCGATCTGTGACTTGGTTTCATATCGCGTGGAAACGATCTCCTTGCCGTCAACACTCGATGTAGTGAAGTATGTGAACGTTGTGAAGTAAGTTAGCGCCGGACGGGGTAATTCTTCCGTAGCAACACTGGTCACAGTGCTCAGACTGGTCTTCACCTCAGTCTGGTCACCACTGGAAAGCGTGGTGTAGTAAGTGAACGTCGTGTAATACGTTTTCAGCACCGACTTTTCCTCTTCACCATCTGCTTGTGAGGAGAAGAGAGGCGGGGCGGATGACGAAGCCAGACTTCCTTCCAGTTGTTGAGACTGTTTCAGAGCAGCCTTAGCCTCTTCTGCACTGCCAACAATGACCTGTGCTCCAGCTCCGCTGCCGACGGCCCTGCCTAGGTTGCCCCTGTCGACGGCGATGGTGGACGCGGACTGCACGACCGCGGTAGGCTCAACGTTGGCCGTCTTCGACACCAGGAAATAGATGCTAGACGTGCTCTTCACCACTTTGGCGTAACGTCCCTTGATGAAGGTACCGTACACCAGTGTAGTAAAGACAGTGGTGACCTTCTCACGAGCCACAGTGCCGCCGATGGAGGTCACCAGACCGGTCGGGTACAGGTCCACGGTGTTGTACACCCGGGTGCTGGCAGTGGACAGCACGCCATCGTCCTTCACTGGCGCAGCTTCCTCAGCAATTTCGTTCGTGGCCTCCGAGTCGGGGGTCACCGTGGAAGTAGCGTCGTTTGATGCGAAGGTGCGGGTGGTTGTGATGACATTTCCTTGGTCCGGGACGAACACAGGGGCACGGCTCAACACCACGCTCTTGCCGGCACGCGTGGGACCCACGAACTGAGCAGTCCTGCTGATCTTGGAGCGGATCTGCTCGGCGCCGGCGGACTGAGGCATGAAGACCACCACAGTGCTGCCGATAGTGGTGATGAAGTCGGAGAAGCCGACGTACGTGACGGTGGTCAGCTCGCTGCCACTCAGAGCCAGATCAAGGTCCAGGATCTCGATTGTCTCCAGGTCACTGAAGTCGCGAGACTCGCGGTTACTACCCTCCTTTAGATTCAGATCCTTGACCATCTTGTTGACCTTCTCGTTGAGAAGCGCCTGTGTCTTCTGGAAAGAGGCGCGGTTGGGTACGACCACCACTGGCTCGTCCAGGCGCAGAGAGCCCTCCTCGTCGGCGGTGTACGTAGGTAAGCGCCTCTGCGGGGGTGAGGGTCGCACTTCCTCGTCGACAATGATCACCTCCTCGCCCTGAACGACGCGCCGCGCCGTGGGCACCTCGTTCACCTCCTCGGGCAGTTCGGTGACCAGCGGCGCCTTGCTGGGGTAGCTGATCGGCATGCCGATGGTGAGAGTGGGCAGCCCGGGCTCCTGGGTGCTGCTCTCCAGCTGCGGCATCACGGAGCTGGTCCGCTCGATCACCTGGCCGTAGTGGGAGCCGAGCGAGGTGCGGATGAAGCGCGTCCGGTGCACGGTCGTGGCGTCGCCGTGCACCTCGGTATTGACCGCTTCGGAGACCACCCCGGTCGGCTGCGGCCGCTCTCCGGTGCGCGCGATGGCGTAGAAGACGCGCTCGGCGGTGCTGATGATGCGTGAGTAGTAGCCGTTGGCCACGGTGCCGACGACGAGTGTCGTGTACTCGGAGGTGGTGCCATCGGATACGAACGTGGGAGCCGAGGACAGGAGCACGCCGGTCGGCAGAGGACGGGTTGTGGTCAGGTATTTGGACGTCGTAAGGGCACCATTCACTTCCACTTCAATATCTGACAGAACAGAGAAGAGGACAATAAACATCAGACAGTGTGACAAGAGCGTGCATAGAAACGGAGAAGCGCTGCAGTCTGATACACGGACGAAGAAGTGTAATGAATATGATGTTGCAGATAGTAAAGACGAAGAACTATTTTACATTTGTTTTTAGAATGTGGCAATCAAATATAAATCGATAACAAACGGTTCAACCTTTTGATAGAAGCATTTTCTTCGAAATACCTATGAATAACAATGTCCAAACGAAGCTGACATGTTCGATGAGGTAAACTTTATTTGATTACGTAAATAGCAAACGCGAAAATGGGGCTCGTTCAAGCATTTATATCTCAGGCATAAAAATAAAAAGATTTAGTTAGAATAAGAATGATTTTAGACATCGTCTTAACGTCAAACTAAATACAGTCCATTTAAGGTGGGTAGGCTGTTTTGTACTCGTACAGTAAGTCGTCCATTTGGAAAAGGGGTGAAAGTCGTTCGGATAAGAGTATAAAACTGAAGGAAATTGTCATGCAACACAGTCTAGAAGAAAATAAGTGCTTCATTCGCATTAACGTCAAATATAAATAGCGCATAAAACGGAGGTCGGACAAGAGAAATCGCAAGTCGGTCTGGTGCAGTCCTAGGTCTCTGGCGGAGAAAGTGATGTGCAAACGATCGCCCGGCAAATCCGGACGGTCTGCTCTCTCTCTCTCTCCGCGCCTTGACGTTAACTGCTGATTTACATATCTGTTGGCGTCGCCGCTCGGCGGCTTCAGAGGCAGACCAGTCGCGGCTTTGCGAGGCGAGATAGGACAGATAAGAAACAGACAGCAGTCCAAAGGAGCCGTAGCCCGTCAGCGGGGGACTAATTCGGGCAAACTACTGCGGCATGCGTCAGTCGGTCAGTCAGTCGGTGCGTTACCCGTCACCATAGGTTTGTCTTCTTGGCAAAGGCTGCTGCACTTTCAGTAGAACACTCACCTGCCGCTCTCTCTGCTCTGTGGCAAAAGGCTCCTCCTGCAAACAGAGATATATTTCGTTAGACACCGATGTAATTACTAATTAGTGGATGACGCTTTCATGAATTTTCACTGGCGCGTTACGGCACATGCGATGGTTGGCTTAAGTCACCCTTGATGCAAATTGGCTTATCATGGCCGATGTCGACATTGGATGGAAGATGCTCACCCACGGGTCAAACAGGTTTGGATCAAGTCACGTTTGGAGCCGCGGCCACTGCAATACGTTTCAATAACTGCACCTTTCCGACACCCAACGGTTCCCCGGTGTCACGAGTGCCATTCGTATTCCTGCTCCGCTCTGACACACCCGGCTCGTGCACGGCTCAGAACATCCTCGGCGGTTTTCGTGATCGGGCGCTCCCTTCACCGGGCCGTTTGTCGAGAGGTCGGCCAGCTCCGGAGCGGCGCGGCGCGTCATGAGGCGGCCCTGCCGGCGGCGGTGGCATCGCACGGCCCCGGGAATCGTGCCGCGACCCTGGCGCGACCCGACCCGACCCGACCTCATCGCCGCGCCGCCAGCCGACCGGGCCATTGTGCAACGTTTCATCACGGCCGCTGATGCCTGGGATGCGGCGTCTGCCTGACCCCGGCGACCCGTATTTTGTAACGGATAAATAACACAGCCAGGTTCTCCCGAGTGAGGTGGTCCGCTCGCCGCTCACGTCCCGCCTGGCCACATTATACGGAGGGAATAGTTAAACAGGTGAAATGGGACATCCCTGGCGTCGATGGATGGAGAAGAGGTGTGGCTATTCCCTGCGTGTAGTTAGATTACATAACTGAATTCCTTTCATCTCATCGCCTATCCCATCCCGATCGTGGACCAAAACTGAGCAATAGCGCTCAAACGAGCGTCTGATGGTGGTGGCACCGGGCCGCCAAGTGCCATCGGCGCCTCACAAACACCCTGCGTGGCGCCGCTGCCCGGCGCGGCGTTACGACAGATTCCGCCGGATGGCCCTCTGTGATGGGAGCGCCGTAATAGCCGCGTTGCGCCGCCTCGCGCCGCGCCACCACCGCGGGCACACGGCCCTCGACCCGTTGCAACAGACGCCGGCACGCCCCGTCGTTTAGGCCCACACGGACGCTTCACAACGACCGGACCCGGCGTGTGGCCGACGCGGGGACGGCGGTCATCACCGCGCGCCGTCCCGTCCGCCTTTCCCCGCGGCCTCCCAAACGACCTCCGACGCACACAGAGACGGTCGGACCACCCGGGCGGGTGTGGCATCATCCCCGGGAGCGATGACAGGGTGGCATCCCTGACCAGCGCTTCAGCACAGCTCGAGCCGCAGCGAGGCGCGGCGCGGACAAAAGGGCCAAATCAGGCTCCCAGCGGGGCTGTCGCGCCAGATGCGCCGCCAATGGGTCACGGCCAGAAATGGGCCAGATGAGCGCGGCTCGTGAGTGGCCCACTGCGCCAGTGCGGTGCTCTGAACAGAGGCCGCTCTTACGAAGGCAACAGGTGCGCTGGCGGCTGTCACCGGAAAGGCTGGTGCGATATGGGGCGCGTACGACTCTTACCGGTACTCTCCCGACGTTATCGGGACCTAGAAGAGCTTGAATGTTCATCCACATAGCATGTAGTGGATGACTTAACCCGCGCGGGGCTGGGGGGGTAAATTTTACCCCCCCTCGCGAATTTTTGCGATATCTCAAAAACGGCGGCGCGAAGCGCCGCCAAACTTTCAGTACCTTTTCTTACATCAATTTGACACGTTCCCTGAAAATTTGAGCGACATCCGTCGGAAATTTTTTGAGAAATTGACGTTTTAGTGACGTCATGTTCGTCATTTTCGCCTCAAAAACGGCAAAAGTTCAAACGCCGCTAACATCTTCATTTTTAAAGGAATCAAGACGTAACAAAAAAGGTTATACGTAATTTTACTTTGTCTATCAAATGGTTATCTCGGTTTTTTGAAAATTTTGGATTTTGGCCTAAATTTTTTCAAAAAACTGACTTTTGGGAAAATCATTATAAAATCCAAAATTTTGAGTCTATCGAAAAAACCGGAATATATGTCAGAGAAATGGTCTATGTGCACCTACATACCAAATTTTAGAAGAATCGGTTCAAAAATGTGGGAGTTATTCAAAATTTTATGACGTCACGACACACATTTTTTTTTGAAAAATGACTTTTTTGGAAGTTCTAGACCTTGTACGGAAACAAAAATAGCACCATTCGATTCGCCGTGAAAAACTGCATCAGATAGACACCTTTTTAGGCCTTAACAACCAACTTCAAAATTTGACCTCACTTGACCTGACCTTGACCTGACCTCGACCTGAAATTCATCCAGAGGTGGTCCATATCACTTATTGAGTGTGCCTATTGAATTATATGAGTAAAATGACCCATAAAACATGTGTCGCACATGCCCTTTTCTATATTTTGTTTTTTGGTGACCTGACCTGACCTGACCTGACCTTGACCTTGACCTCTGAATGATATTGTATGCAACGAATATTGTCTTGGTAGCCTAAGAACACGTTTTGGGCGATCAGTCTCAGTCCATGACTCCATTCTTCGGCAACTACGGTGCAAGGCCGATACTGTAGAAACTTGCAATTTGTACCCTTGACCTGACCTTGACCTTGACCTCAAACTTTAAATTAAGTACATGTTTTTAGTAGTTCGTGATGAGAGCTTTCGATTGGCGTTTGTATTTTCCAAATCGGACCGTTAGTTCGGGAGATAACAGGGGGGGGGGGGGTAAAATTTACCCCCCCCCCCCCAGCCCCGCGCGTTCGGCTGGAGACCCCAGCCCCGCGCGGGTTAACTATTTTGTGGCAAAACCATTGTGCAACATAACTCAATTGCTTGAACACTTGTTCGGTCACGCCTGGCCAGGTGGCAGCCTTTCTCTTAGCGCTGCCACTGTTGCCATTCTTGTAGGTATCAGTCTATGAGAATCTGATTGGTCTTCGGCGGCCGGCGAACGGACTGTGTCGAGTGGCGACACTCCTCTCGTTTCCCTTCGTGACGCCACTCAGTCCGGCGACTTTGCCTGCCGTTCCCACGGTTCGTTCGCACAGTGGCGCCGTATCGCTATCCAACAATGTCACGATCGGCTTTTTCTGTGCTCCCTTTCAATCGGCATTATGAGGCCCGTCACGCCATCATCTAAAACAACCTCTCATGGCGATAAGACGCCTGTACTTCAAAAAGTATCTGATGAGAGGTTTTATCCAAGAAGTACAAGACGACGCTGGTTCTTGGAGGCACAGTACATAGACACGACACCGGAGCTCTGAGAACCACTCTCCGTGACCAGCTTGAGTGCAGCTATCGTTTGTCAAACGAGGCGGAACGCACTCACCGGACCAACGGTCTCCGATCGCCCGCGGCTCCCAGTGGGGCCTTGACCTGCGGGTGTGCCCCGGTGCCCGCTAAGTGGCGCCGCCAGCCTCGCCGAGCGGGCAGCGGTGCGTTGCCCGTGTCACGGCTCGCGGCGGTGACGGCGCCGCCGAGCTGTTTTCGGCGCAGGACCGCTGCCGGAACAGATGTCCAATTGTCCATCCCTCCGGCCAGCAAGGGAGTGGGAACTCGTATTCTCGTGCAATAGCGGGAGAGGGTGGTACCCGTTGCAGGACGGCGGTCACGGGCAACGGTCACGACGGCAGGGGTCAGAGGAACACTGCGCCACGCCGCAGAGGGCTGACTCCGGGAGCGCAGCACGAGCAGAGTGGGGGCGGAGGACCGGACAGCACGTGTCTGCAACTGACAGACACGTTCAAACGCAGCGACTGTGACACTTAGTGCCCTTTGTTGCCGAATAACGGCCAGTCGTTGCGCGTGTCGACAATTATAGCGGATGGAAGACATTCCGTTATTATGAGTCGCGTGCGTAACGTCGTATTTAATAAGTGGTATTAATATGCAACCCGTTGTGAAGCTTTTACAAGATAGGTATGCATCGTGCGACCAGCTGAAGTACACACTAAATAACATTTACTCACACTTCATTCAAGTAAACTGTTTTAAAGCGCGCTCGCTGTTTTGGTGAGGCCAGAAATAACACGAAATGAAGAGTAGGTAACGAAATATCAAATGGCCGAATCAGTCCATGTCATTCCAATTAACCGTCAGCGTTGAGCGTAACTGATGTTTGTGGGCATGGCTCGCGTGAATGACAGGGTATCGGCATCTATTGTTAGTTGGACCACAGCCAGCCCAACCATATCCATTGGACTGAATTAGGGACCGAGCCGGACACACAGAACACTTTGGCGCCCACCCATATAAGCCCATTGGAAACGGTCGACAGAGTATGGACTGGATTACAAACGTACAGGGTGTCCCATAAGTTCGTTCTCACCTAAATTTTACGTTTTTAGGCTCTCTTGGTTAAAGACACGCTGAAATTGGTTCGTTACTGGGCTTACGTGGTTGCCATGGCTGGTAGAAATATGCTCCACAGTAACTAATTTCTGTAGACAAAATAGTTTTGCTAGAGAGCCCGTTTCCTACACAGACGGCTAACGCCGCAACATAGAGGTCTCCAATACGGGTACGTCTCGGTATTTAGTCAGCACGTGACCATTCGCGACGATTGAGGGTGATTGACGCCTACCAGTCTGTAGACAATGTCCATCGCTAACTGGACGCACAGTCAGCAAGTGACACCGATGATTTGTCGGGAGTCAATCATTGCAAGTTTATCCTCTTTTTTGTCAGGTCTCAGGAGTGAGCCATGTGGCCAAAACTGTGTGGCGCCAAAGTGGCCATCAAAAAGGTCAAAGGGTTAGAAAGTTGGTAAACAGACTTTTCAGGATGGATTACCAGCTGTCTAAGAGTGTTCTTTCGGGGTACATAACTCAAGGTGACTTAAGCTTTGCTTACCGGAGGGCTCAAAACAGTCAAAAACGTCTTAAAATGGCCAAACATGAGTTTCGTTACGCCTGAGGCTAAAAAACTAAAGGGCTGAGGATATCAACCAGGTCATCTGGACTAACTAGTCCACGTTCGAGATGAAACACCCGTCCAAACCC